GGGCCATAGGAATCTGTGTGTGACCTCTGTCCAGTCGTGTTTACTGTGAATCCTGCTCAGTGATACCTGCCTACAGCAGGGTTCTAGGAATTTCTGGAGGGTTGGGGGAAGCCTAGACCCACTAGCACTTGACTAGAGGCATATAGGGCCTGCTGAGTCTGTGGGGTTGATTGTCAAGTAGATGCCTATGTGACTAAGGAAATAATTGAGGGATATTGCCAGGGAAGTCAGAATTCCTGGGGGAATTGAGACAGTAACCCAGGCCTCATACTCCCAGAACCATGTGTGAGTCGGCAATGCCAGTATGGGTTTCTAGATCCAGCAGAGAAACACATGAATAGGGTTCTGAGCAATGGGAGCCCTAGGTGGGCACAAATAGACAAAATTTTGAGAGTCCATCACCCTTTCATCAACCATAGTACTCATGATTCTCTTAAGAGAGACCTAATCTCAAGTGGGTAAATAAATACATTTAAAAATTTCATCTGTTTAAAATGTTCCATCACCTGGACGGTTCTAGCAACCTGGTCTTGTGTTTGATTGAATTTAGGCACCAAAAGAATGAGAAGCTTACCTCCCTTCACTTCAGTTTCTGGTCCTCCCCTCTATACCCCTAAGTCTCCAAAGACTCCCTCTAAGGACTGTCACACCAGTCAGCAAAATAGCCTCCTGCATCCTGGCCCACTTTGTCAGCTTAGCAACTTCACATGTTTTTATTGACCCAGTTTAGGTCTTGGGCCTACCTTAAGCCAATAACATATTCAGAAATAGGATGCTCCAGTTGACCAAGCTTCACCAGTTGTACTTGAAGAAAAATGAGAATGGAGATTCAAGGGCCTTCTCTCTGAGCCCTTAATCTATGCCTTGCTGCTTCACCTGTCTACAGATAACCCAGAATGAGATTGAAGTGAAAACAGGATATGGAGGTCAGGCTTAGAACAAAGTACTCTTGTGCCTTTGCCCGTGGTGAGGGAGCAACTTTCTGCTTCATAACTTTTCCCCCAAGCCCCATTTAATTTCATATTGCCACTCCTTGAAGTGTCTTCAAAAATTAGTCTGCAACTTGGAGCTTAGTGAAAAATACTCAAGTGTGAGCAGCCTTCCTTCTTCTATCATACTCAACCTCAAAAAGTCGATTTAAGTTTTCACTGCCCTGGACTGGAGCGATAGCACAGTGGGTAAAGCATTTGTTTTGCAAGGGGCCAACCCGGGTTTGAATCCCAGCATCCCATATGGTCCCCTGAGCACCGCCAGGAGTAATTCCTGAGTGCAGAGCCAGGAATAACCTCTGTGCATCACTAGATGTGACCCCAAAAGCCAAAATAAATAAATAAATAATCTAGTTTTCACTGCACTGATCACAGCCTTCTTTTAATGAAGTATTGACTAGACTGATTCTCTGGGGTAGGAGGGGACAATGCTAGGGAGGGATGAGACCACTTAGTGGCTTACATCATATGGGCATATCTGAGTGACAACCAAGTCTTGTAGAACATGGATCAGGGCCCTTGATTCCACTTGACCTGGCAGGCCTGTGCAGACAGATTTTCAGGGATGCAGGAGAATGAGAGCCAAGCCTCCAGGGCCTTCCCACACTCGGGTTGCCTGGCACTGGGTCTTGCTTATCCTGCTTGGTCCCTAGCTCACAACTCATACTGGTGCAGCCAAATTGGCCCCTCTTCTGGTCTTCTGTGTGTAACTTCATGAGAGGCCCTCCTTTGACTAGTCAGGCAGCCAGAGTTGATCAGCTCTGCCCATTCAGCCATTCCTTCCCTGATCAACCCTCTCTGGCTGTAGCACTACTGCTGCTTAACTTCTGTAAGATAGATGCATTTAAGGAGCTGCTAACAGGTATGCACTAGTGTCCTGGGAAAGTACACAGATTGACTGGCCCAGTTTCCCGGGCTTCTGAAGGCTGTGTGGGTCACCAGCTTAAGGAATCCTTTCTGGGAAAGACTTTCTCCTAGCAATTCCCATAGGCTTATTTTTCCTATGATGCTGTTACTATAATTGGCCTCTTTCACAAATGGCAACTATCTACTTCCTAGGTTACTGGGAGGATTAAGTCAGATCATACAGTTCAATCACTTTGTATAGTCCCTGGCAAGCAGCTTTTATAACAATGATAGACAAGACAGAGTTTTCATGATTATAGGAATTTATGCTCCAACCAGTTCAGAATGGGAAATCCTGGTGTTCCATAACCTTGCTGACACTTTTACCAACAGTCATGGATAAATAAATTTTGGTACATTCATTCAAAGAATTATTACACAACCATGGAAAGGACAAACCACTGAAACATTCAGTAACTTGAATAAATCTCACAAATAAAATGCTGAGCACTTAGTAGTTATTGTGACCTAGGAAGTAGATAGTGGCCATCTATGATAAAGGACCTTTATAGTATCTGCATCATAGGATTATTATAAAGTTGAATGTCACTGTAGCACTGTCCTGTTTTTCATCAATTTGCTTGAGCAGGCACCAGTAACCTCTTCATTGTGAGACATGTTGTTACTGTTTTTGGCATATCGTATACGCCACGGGGAGCTTACCAGGCCCTGCCGTGTGGGCAGGATACTCTTGGTAGCTTGCTGGGCTCTCCAAGAGGGACAGAGGAATCAAACCCAGGTCGGCCACATACAAGGCAAACGCCCTACCCCCTATGCTATCGCCCCTATGCTCAGCCATAAAATTGAATACTTTTAAGAATTTAGCCCAACGTTGCCATTTTGGAAACACTGTTTAAGATATCTATTATTGTTAAAATAAAACAACAAAGGGCAACACAGGATTGAGAATTTAGGAGTCTGTGTGCCCTGCTTACCTAGAGTTCTGAACACTTTGGATAACTGAATGCATGATGCTCTTCAATAAGATCTAGGTTCTAACTTCAAGAAGACACTAATAGCAGGTATAGGTGTGTTTGACAAAACAGAAAATGTAACTCAGAAAGATCCCTGGGAGTATTTAGAAAAAACCGAGCACAGAGGCTTTTTGCCAAGTAAAAATTGATGGGTCTAAGAGCTCACTGGGGTGGAGGAACTCAGGGTTCAATCCCTGGCACCAAATGGTTGGTTCCCTGAGTAGAGGCACCAAATGGTTCCCTGAGTAGAGCAGGGCGCTACTCTGGAGCAGAGTCAGGAGTAGTTCCTGAGCACAGCACAGAACCCAGCAATCAAGTTACAATGATTCAATGTCTGTTCCTCTTACTTGCCTATAAGTTCTTTAGGCAAGTATATTTTTTCAAGTATTCATTCATAATAAATACAACTAAAATCCATTCAGGCAAGAAAGGGGTGAGGAGAGAAAAGGAAGAGAGGGACAGGGGCAGTAAGCATGGAAAGCAAGTAGCAAGAAACATGCAGTGGTGAATGTCGGGAAAGGAGGGGGTATGTTCAAGTCACTGAGAGCCTTGAAGTTCTGAGTCTAATGATACTAAAGCACATTACAATTTCTAAGGTCTTCCTTTTTTTTTTTTTTTTTTGTAAAGATCCCTCTCATGCATCAGCCGGGTATGGACCCAACTTTCCAGCGCCATCCATTTTCAGGGCTAGTTGATTTGTGGAGGTTTTGTTTGTTTGGGTTTGCGGGGGCACAAGCCATGCTCAGGGATTATTACTCCTGTCAGTGGTCAAAGGATGACAAGGAGTGCCTGGGATCGAACCCTGGTCGACAGTGAGCAAGGCCTACCCCTACCATCCTACCTGCTGTACAAATCTGTCCCCGGCCCCAGATTTGGCAGGTGAGTTGCTGCTTAGAGGATTCTGATTGCCGCGTCCACCATCCTGCTAGCCCTGCTGTCAGCTCTAAAGCCTTGAGGTGAAAAAGGACAGAGGGTAGCAGGGAGGAGATGAAGGAAGGTGTGGTGAGGAAGCCTGACGGGGTGAGAGCCAGCTTTTGTGCAGCCCACTTAATGTGAATTTGATTTTAATATAAAACTGACAGGAAGCCCTCAGAAGGGCTCTACGCTTTCCAGCCTCAGAAGGTACAAAGGAATACCAGAGAATACGATAATTTTTGGTAATTTAGGGTAATCTGTGAGGAAGGGGCAGACATGGAGGTACACATGGAAGGTGCTCAACTATTATTCGGCGGGGGGGGGAGGAGAGCGGGGGCAAGGGGGTCACCACACCCAGTGGTGCTCAGGGCTTAGTCCTGGAGGTGCCCTAGGCTGGGGATTGAACCCGGGTCTGCCACGTGCAAGACAAGCGCTCTACCTGCCGTCCTATAGGCTCTGGCCCCAGGTACTCAACCCGTTTTTGAAATATTCCAAGTACACAGGAATAGAATGGATGGGCGTCCAGGAGTTAACAGCCGACGCACTGGCCTGCGGTGCCCTAGAGGCAGGAGCCCCCAGGTGATAGGCCCAGCGGTCCGACACTGTGACCTTGAGCGCATCCCCGCCCCGGATTCACAGCCCGGATCCCTACGTCGCGGGGGCGGGGAGGACGTGCAAGGAGGGACCCTGCGGGTGCGCGGTTCGCTCGCCGGCCGGATGGATGGATGAACCGGCGGCCCCTGGGCCCCAGTTCCCGGCCGGCTCCCCTCTCCCACTCTCACACACACACACACACACACACACCCCGCCACCCACTCCGGACTCTTCCCGGGGGGCGGACCCTCGCCTCTCGCAGTGTTGACATTCCACCCGAGCCCGCCACGCGGCTTTTTGCCGCCCCAGCGCCGCGCGGCTCCGCCCCCGCGCCCCGCCCCTCGGTTCGGCCGCGCTCGCGCCCTGACCTCCCCCGCGTCCGACCCGGCGCGGCCCCGCCCCGCGCGCGTCCCACCCCGCGCGGGCTCCGCAGCTCCCGCCGCGCAGGCCCCGCGCGGTCCCCGGGCCCCGCCTCCCCGGCGCGCAGGCCCTGTCAGTGGGCCCCGCCCCCAGCCCCGCCCCAGCGCCCTGCCACGCCCCAACCACGCCCCCATCCACGCCCCGGCCCCGCCTCCAGCGCGCCCGGGCGCCTCGGCCGGCCGGCGCGGCGGCGGGGCGGCGGCGCTCAGGGCGGCCGCTGAGGGGCTGGAGCCCGGCCGGGGCGGGGCGGAGGGTGGCGGGAGGGCGCGAGGGCGGGCCGGGGGCCGGTTCCGCGCGCTGGGATTTTTAAATGTCCCGCTCTCGGCCGGGCGCAGGAGCAGCCGGCGAGGCAGCCTGCGCGGTGTAGGGGGCAGGCGCGGATCCCGCCACCGCCGCGCGCTCGGGCCCGCCGCCTCCTCCCGCTTCCCGGCTTCCCGCTCGCCGCCGCCTGCTGCCTCGGACCTGGGCTCGTGCACCCGCGGAGCCCACCCGCGCCTGCCGCCGACACGGCTTCGGGTAAGGACGGGCGCCGCGGGGGACCCGCTACCGGGGCCGGAGCCGGGGGGTGCGGGAGTGGGGCGAGATCGGGGCCCCGGGGGTCCCCCCGCGGGCGTCAGCCTGAGGTGGGCTCTGAGGCGGGCTCGGGAGGTGGTGGATGAGGTAGACTGAGGCCGCTGCGGAGGAGGAAGAGGAGGACGAGGGGGGCCTGCTCGGGGTGGGGGGGTGGGGGTGGGGGTAGGGGTGGGGGGGCGTCTGGCCTCCCCCCCTCCCCCCCGACCCGGCTTCCGACCCGGCAGCGTGGGCTGTTGGAGGCGCCGCGGGTGACAGGCCACCCGGGCCCATCGGCCATTTTCCCGGCCGGGGCGGCCCGGGAGCTCCCGCCGCCGCCTGTCCCCGCCCGCGCGCGGGGCGGTGGGGGTGGGGGAGGGGGAGGGGTGCCCGGGTCCCCGCTGCCGCCGCCGCTCACCGCACTGCCCGCTCTGTGCCCCCGCAGCCCTGACGTCTGACCCCGCGCCATGCCGAGGGAGCGGCGGGAGAGGTGAGTCCCGGCGGCGCCGGGGTGGGTGGGGGGTGGGGGTGGGGAAGGGGGGAGGGGCGGCCGAGATTTGCGGTGGAGGTGGGGGGGGGGGTTGAACTCACCTGCGGTGCCACTGGGGTCTTGCAGGGATGCCAAGGAACGGGGCACCATGAAAGAGGAAAGTGGCAACGAGGTTTCAGTTCGTTCCAGGAAAAGAAAGGCGAATGTGGCCGTTGTGAGTACAAAGGGGGACAGGTGGGGTAGAATTTGCCTCCCCCCACCCCCACCCCCCCCCTACACACACTCTCCTTATCCCCCCACTCATCCTACCTGGGTTGTTCTGCCCGCATATTTTCAAGAGTGTTTAAGGGTGGTGCATTTTTTGCAAAAAATGGTAACACATCGCCTGACCAACTTTTTTTTCTCTCTTTCTCTCTCTTTCTCTCTCACTCTCTGGACTGTCTGATGTGCCCTTCCGGGATGCCGGTTCTTTGATGGTAGTTTTTGCAGGATCCGGATGAAGAAATCGCCAAAATTGACCGGATGGTGACAAACCAATGTGGTGGTGGTCAGGTAGGTTAAGTTACCCTTGTGGCTTGGGCCTCGCGGGCGGACCTCCCTTTCGTGGTCAAATTGTGTGTCATCCTCCCTTGTCTCCTGCCTGGAGTCCTTTCCTGTGACTTGGCCACAGTTCAGGTGGCTGGACACGGGTGCCTGGCAGTGGGCGCTAACCTCTGACAGCAGTGGGATTCCAGGAAGGGGCCCCTGTTCATGACCTGCACTCCTGACTTGACAAATATGCCCGGGTGTCTGGAAGAACCAGAGCCGGACATCAAATAGCTGGATTCTCTCATTTGCCCTTGAGGAAACAAACTCTTCAGGAAGAAAGTAACTCGGTTCTGCAAGGCAAGGGCGGAGTCCGTTCTCTTGCCTGTCTCCAGGCGGGTGGTAAATCTTCTGACACAGCCCATTGGGTAAGGTGATGAGAGCTTGGTGAATATTCACACCTTCTCTCACATCCTTAGTAGTGTTTTGTCATGGAAGGGTTTAAGGGCCTTTCTTCCCCTGAAGGTCAGACGTCTCATAATTTTCCTCATACTAGAAGTTTTCCCAGCCCAGTCATGGCAGTTGCTGGAGTGATTGATCACTGCTTCCTGGGCCAGAATATCAATAGAGCATTCTGTGTAATTTGTCACTGTTTTTTGTTTTGGGGGTGCCAGACCAGTAGTGTTCAGGGTTTACACCTCACCAGGCTTTGTGCTCGGGATCATCCTGAGTGGGGCTCACGAGACCATATAGGGTACCAGGGACTAAACCGGGGTCAGCTGTGTGCAAGGCAAGCGCCTTACCTGCTAAACCATCTCTTCAGCGCCAACACTTTTTTTTTTTAATTAACTTGTCCACTTCTCTTGCCCCTCCTTTGCAGAGCTCCCCGCCAAATTTCATGCATTCTCACGTTTCATAATATCAGAAGTTTCTAGCCAGAAAAGCCCTTTATTATCTCTCTACCTCCAGAAGTGGCTGGTAACTGTAGTTAGGACTCTGGTAGGGGAAACAGCCTATCTCCAAACGCGCTGATCAGGCCTTCTGACCCTATCCCAGATAAAAGCCGAGCAGGACTAAGCCAAGAGCACTGGTTCCGACTAGGCCACTTATGGGCACCGCATCAGCGTATACGGACTCTAGCAGCTGGGTCTGGAAAATGAAGGACTTCAGAGCTGTGGGCCATGTTGTTTGCAATTACAGTTGTCACTGCGCATTAGACCCTCCTAATTAGCATTTCTGGGCCGCTTCCACTGAATATCAACAAGGGGTTGATTATTTCCTTTTCTAGGAGACATACTTCACTTAAAGAAATTAAGGTATTACATCCTAAGTTCTGTCCACTTTTGTTTTCTCCCCTTTTTTCTTGAAAGCTTCATACCAAGCAAGTTAACTTTTATTAGTGTAAGGTTTTATTTTCCACTTTGTGAAACTGAAGATTGTATATTGTCTTGGCTGTGTTTATTTTTGTGGCTGAATTGAAGTTTCCAACTGAGGATGATGCAAAGCCATCCTTATAGATTTTTTTTTTTCCACTTTGGGAGTAATTTCTATTCTCACGAATACGGTGCCTAGAATACCTTTGACCCTGCCCAAGACCACAGAGAACAGATAGCTTGATACATGAATGGCCTTGTCATTTTCCAATTCAGTGGTTGTCCAGAGATTAGAAGAAACAGGTTTCTGTCCATTTTTATAAAGTAGATAACTTTAGTTTTACATTTATTTGTGGAGCAAATCTTTGTTACTTCTCTGTATAGATTCATGAAGCTAGAATTTGGGGTAACAGAAACTTGCTTAGAAATTATAGATAATTTTTCTCTAGAGTTGTAATTCAACTCAGTCAAACAACCTTGAGCTACTTGTCATGCTAAACTCCATTAACTTTTTCATCAAGACTATGCAACGTTTTATGATCCTTTCCTAGGGCCTTGGTTAATGAAAAAACTAACCTTTTATCTAAAATTTCATTTAATGTAGTCTATCTTAATTTTTTGCATGAAACCTGACTTTTTTTAATTAGAGTGACTTTCTGGGCTTTCTATTCAGTTCCTGTTCAGAACTTAATTTTGCATAAGCTAGTCCTGATAATTAGAACGGGCAGAAGGAAGTCCGGAAGACTTAGGAATGGTCAAAATTGTATTCTTGCTTTTCCATTCACTCATAAAGTCAGGCTGGTCTTCCTTTGTAAGGAAGTAAGCTTCAGACCAATCATGCTGAGTTTTATGAGTAGACACTCAAGTTAAAGAACATGGACTTCATTTATTCTGCTGCTGCATACAGTGATTCCTAAAACCCCCAACTTTGGTTCCTATTTGTCTGCTTATGGCTCACGTAATTTCCCTGTGAACTGCAGGTTGGGAAATGCTGCCATTTTATCTCTAGAGGCCTACTCTCAGCTGTCTCGGCCATCTGGCATAGAGGGTGGTACCAGCTTCTTCTGCCTGTCAAATTAAAATTCATTTTTGAATAAAGAGCAACTTAGAGCTATTGTAATGTGACCCTTTTTGAATCAAGGAAATGTTAGCAGCACATGATACTAGAAATGTAAACGGAGATTGCTCCTCTCGAACAGCTGTTGGCAAGAGGTGTTCTGGGTAATTTGCATGCCCAGTTCTTTGCACATTGAACAAGAGCTTTATCCTGCTTTAGTCTTCTCAATAGTCTTCTCAGTACACCCTGAAAATGCTTGGGCTTCCTCTGAAAGTGACCGGTGTGTTGTAATAACTATCTGATAGTACTTACAGCCCAAGTTTCTATCTCTGTGTATAGTCATTTCAGTCGTTTCTGTCTTCTCCAGTCAATGTTAAAAATCTCCCTGCTTTAAAAAAAAAAAAAGAAAGAAAGAAAGAACAAAAGTTTAAGAGTCTTCAGATTCTGTTTTTTTTTTAAATTTTGACTTTTAGGTCACACGATGCTCAGGGATTACTTCTGGCTCTGCACTTAGGAATCGCTCCTAGCAGTGCTCAGGGGACCATATGGGATGCAGGGGATCAAACCCCAGGTCGACCATGTGCAAGGCAAACATTACCCACTGTATTACGGCTCCAGCCCCAAGAGTCTCCAACTTTAGTAGGAACAGTACTTGCCGTATCTTCTACAAAATCACCGGGGATGGGGGGACCAAAAGCCCTGAAATTCTTTTCAGAGTATGATGATAGTGCCAGGGATATATCGCAAAGGATCAGAGTGTGTACTTTGCATGCTGGAGCTATGAGTTTTACTCCCAGAAACCCATGTTCCCCCCAGCATCTAGCCAGGAGTAGCTTTCAAACCTTTATGAGTGTGCTCCAGGATGAAAAACAAACAGAAAAGGAGTAGGACAGTAAGAGGAGCCTTTAAAGGAGAAATACCTACATGGCAAAAATAGTGATATTTTCCAGATTCTGAAAACGGAATAAAATGAAGTACCTTAGAAGCTTTTAGAAAAGGATTGGAGGTATATAGGACAGCAGATAGTTCCTTGCTTCACATGCAGCCCACCCAGGTTGATTCCCAGGACCAAAATGGTCCTGTGATCCCTGAGCATAGAGCCAGGAGCAAAGCCTGAGCACCACTGGGTGTAGACCCAGAAAACAACAAGAAAGAGAAGCTTTTGAAGGAAAGAATAGAAGGCTTGAGAGAGTACAGTGGATTTACTTGCCTTGCACATAGCTGACCGGGGTTAAACCTTTGATACCACATAATGGTCCCCCAAGCACTGCCAAGAATGATCCTGCACAAAGTAAGCCCTGAGCATCACTGGACACGGCCCCAAATCAAAGAAAAAATGTTAAAAGCATATTATTTGAATTTTTAATAATGTTTGAACTACTTTATCAGTTTTGAGTTTTGCTCTGCAAGGCTGTGTTTCAAAGGTCCTCTGGCATGTTTAGGTTCTATCTCCACAGAGGTCTTAATCTATCCTGTAACCAATGTTTGATTTGGTTTTAACTAGGTGGGGTTTTGTTTTGCTTTGAGTTAAGGAAAGCAAAAGGTTCCCATGATATTTCTACTAGTCTTCCAACCAAGAGAGATGTCACATGATAGGTTTTTTAATGGGGAGATTTTAATTAATAGATGGCAGTCTTTTTTACATTTCTGAGCTGTTTTTATTTGTGAATATGGAGTGTAAATATGTGCTGGAAATTCTAAGATGGCCTCTTGAATAGTGTGCTCAGTTTTTCTGGGTATCTTCTAGGTGTGCAGGTGGTGTATATGTTTTACTTTTTTTTTAAACAATAAATTCTTCCACTTCTGTGAAATTTTAATAAATTTGTTGAACTTGTTATCTCTTTGGATTGTGACCAGATAATTCCTCATTATACTTCCGAAGTCTTGAACAGTATTGTACTCCTGCTTACATATCTTTGTTTGGTTTGGGGGCCACACCCAGCAACAGAGGGTTACTCCTGGCTTTGTACTCAGGAATCACTCCTGGCATTGCTTGGGGGACCGTAAGGGATGCCATGGATGGCAAGTTCCCTGCCTGTTGTACTAGCTGCAATCCCTAGATTTTGTTTGTTTGGGTCATTTTAAAGATATTTGCATTTTTTCTTATTTCTGTGATCTAGTACCTTGTGGTTGATGATAATAGAGGGTAAAGTTCTAATTTCTAATTTTCTTGGGTATATACTACATTTTGGATTCCAAAAGCTAATAATAGAAATAAAATGAAAACACAGTCATTATTGTGCCTTTTACTTAAGTAAAAGCCAACACTATCTTAATTTCAGCCAAGTATTTATTTAGATTACTATTTCAGTGAGACTTTTTTGTTACCACTCTTCAAGTCAATGAATAAAGAAATAGATGGCTTATATCAAAGATTTAAAATTGTATTTTTCTTCTACAGCCTTGGGACAATAATAGTACAGTCTGTGTAAACCCCTGCTCCTTGATTCCCACACCTGACAAAGAAGAAGATGAACTGGTTTACCCAAACTCTGTGTGTGACCCTCAGACCTTTGCCCCATCCAGAGCCTCACCTCTGCCTGTACTGAAGTGAGTTGACTACCTCTTGCCTTCTGGATCTGTTATTCCGTGTGCTTAACCTCACCTCTCACATTTAGTATAGATGCTTAGTATGATTTATTTTGATTTCTTTTTTCCTTCCCCCCCCCCTTTTTAAAAAAAAATAGCTGGGCAAATCGAGAAGAAGTTTGGAAAATCATGTTGAACAAGGAAAAGACGTACTTAAGGGATAAGCACTTTATGCAGCGACACCCACTTCTGCAACCTAAAATGCGAGCAATTCTTCTGGATTGGTTGATGGAGGTGAGCTCTAGTCTTCCTATTACCTGGAAATATTGTTCCTTTCTAGAATCCTTTGTTTTATTATGGTCGAATTGTGTGGTTTATTACATTGACATATCCTCTGTCTCTGACAACGTGATAAATATATCCAGTGGTCTTAACTCTGTGCATACTTCCTTACAAATCCTAAAGTTTCTTTACCTCACAGATACTTTGAAGTTGGTATTAATTTTTTTCATCAGTTTTCTGTTTTCTTTTGGGACCATACTTGACAGTGCTCAGGGTTTACTGCTGGCTTTGTGCTCAGGATCACTACTGGTAGTACTAGGGTGCCATATGCAGTGCCAGGGATCAAGTCGGGGTCAGCCACATGCAAGGCAAGCACTTTGCTCGCTCTACTATCTTTCTCTCTGACTTCTCATCAGTTTAAATTGTTGTATCGAGGACCATTTTTCATAGTTATCAATGTTGACAATTTGCTAATGGGATTAATTTTTGTTTTTGATTGTGTTTTGTGGCCACATTCCGTGATGCTCAGGGGTTATTCCTGACTGTGCACTCAGGAATTACTCCTGGTGGTGCTTGGGACCAAATGGGATGCCAGGGATTGAACCCCAGTTGGCTGCATGTAAAGCGAACACCCTGCCACTGTAGTGTTGCTCTGGTCCCTGGTTGGTTGGTTTGTTTTATTGTGGGAATTGAGCCTGAAGTCTCATTCATGCAGGGCAAGTGGTATACCACTGAGCTACATTCCTGGATGCAGTTAAATTGCTTTGAACTGTATCCAGTGGAATGCAGGCACTAGCTATGGGGTAGTCTCAATGAGAAACTTCAATAAATGAATAAGCTTATCATTAACAACCAGAAATTTTATTCTTTTCTGACTCCTTAGAAATTACTTCTAACTCCTCATTCCCCCCCCCGCCCAAGCTTATCCTAACAAAATACATTGTTCATTATCTTTTATTGATTATATTATCATACTTCTGTAATAGCTAATCAAAACAAGTTCTAGGAGTGTATAGTTCTCAGGAAGTTCACATTCTCTTGAACACGTTTTCTTTTTCTCAATTTTAATAAAATTACTTAAAAATAAAGAAGAGGGGCTGGAGCAGTAGCATGATGGCGTTTGTCATGCATGTGGCTGACCCAGGTTTGATCCCTGGCACCATATGGTTCTCAGAGCACTGCCAGGAGTAATTCTTGAGTGCAGAGCCAGCAGTAACCCCTGAGCATCGTCAGGTGTGACCCAAAAGCAAACATATATAAATAAAAATAAAGATGAACAAGTTTTACAAATTATGATGGATAATTGAGAAAAAAATAATATTATACGGGTCTATTCACCTCTTTCTGAAACTGAATGACTCACTGCACCTGTTTTGTTTTGTTTTTGTTTTGGGCCGCACCTGGTTATGTTCAGGGCTTACTCCTGGCTCTGTGCCTAGGCATCATTCTTTGAGGGCTCAGGGGTCCATACAGGGTACAGGGGATCGAACTCGGGTTGGCCACCCTATAAGGCAGGCACCCTGTCTGCTATACTATCTCTCTAGCCTCCTCTCTGCATCTATTAAAGGACACTTTTGCACCACTTGGGTTGGTGAGAAATAGTCTTTCTACTGTGACTTGGAAGAACATCAGAGGCAAATGTGTTTTATGAATGAGCACATGTGGAAGTTTAATGTCTAATGAATATTACCTAGAAGCTAATTATTCTGTTCATTTTTAGGAGAAAGTGTGCATTTGCAGAAGTATGTATACTCTTGTGCTCACCCTAGAATCAAATTCCCTGATGCTATTTGCCATCTATGAGCCTTGCCTTGAGCAGGTCACTTAACTTTGAGTTGGCCCTCTCTGTATGATTTTCTAGCATTTTCCTGGCAGAATTTGTGTGAATCAAAAATAATGTATCTGAAGTATGATTGTGAATGAAAAGCAATGAAAAGATGTTTTTTTTGTTTTTATTTGGGAGGCATACCTAACTCAGGGCTTATTCCTAGCTCATTCCTCAGGGATCACTCCTGATGGCGCTCAGAGAGCATAGATGATATGCTTAAACCCTTGTAGTGTCTCTCTAGACCCCCCAAAATAGCTTTAAAATATATTCTTAATTTGTTTCTTCCATTGATCACTAAAAATATTTCACTTTTGTGTGCTGAATTATTGGGCAGTTATGTTTGAAACTATAAGCTTTGCAGTTACCTACAACCCCACCATGGTGCCTTGCTCTTGTACCCTTTGGAACATCTTACAATTCTGTGTGAAGTATTAGAGATGGCTATGCTTTACTCTCTTGGACTTCAACTCAAAAAATGAATAAAGGGGCTGGAGTGATAGCATAGTGGGTAGGGCATTTGCCTTGCACACAGCCAACATGACCAACACAGGTTCGATTCCCAGCAACCCATATGGTCCCCTGAGCACCGCCAGGAGCAATTCCTGAGTGCATGAGCCAGGAGTAACCCCTGAACATCACCGGGTGTGACCCAAAAAGCAAAAAAAAAAAAAAAAAATGAATAAAATCACTTTTATGTCATGTTAGAGAAAATAATCTTGGCTGACTTGTTTTGGGTTATTTGTTTATTTTTGCTTGGGGACCACACCCAGAGATACTCAGGAATTAATCCTAATGGTGTTTGGAAGCCAGAGATCAAAGCAAGGTTCACCTAGTACAAGGCAAATTCCCCATTCACTGTAATGTACTGTCACTCTGGCCCCCAAAAATAATGTTTGTGAGGACATGGTTTGAGTATAAATTATTTGCTTAAAGTCAGTTTCTCAGGCCCTACTGACAGTGTTAAGGACTTTTCCCCCCTGAAAGTCAATCGGTTGTTAGTCAATCAAAGTTATATAATAACTTTTTGGAAAAAAATAGGCAAGAAGGACAACTTTCGTGCTTCCACTGGGATAAAACAGCAGTACACAGTTTTTGGAAGGCTTATCTGTAGTAATTTTAAGTTTTTCAAGGGCTGGAGGACTAATATCTAAGGCCAGAGAAAACAAGGGCTAAGAGGACTGGTCAAATGGCCGGAGCCTGCCACACGTATTTGTGGAGGGTAGGTTAGGTAAGATAGAGAAGGGACCAGTATGAAATGATCACGCTGGACAAGAACTGAGTGTTAAAAGTAGGTAAAGGGATATACCTGATAACCTATCACTATCTGTATTGTAATCACAATGCTCAGAATGGGGTGGAGGGGAGGTGTGGGGGTTAATGGGAGGGAAACTGGGGATACTGGTGCTAGGAAATGTACACTGGTGGAGGGATGGGTGTTGGAACACTGTATGACTGAAACCTAATCATGAACAGCAAAGGGTCTATCTCCAGTGATTCAACCAAAGAAATCTTGGGAAAAGGAAATAAAGAAGAATACTGCTTTTACCAGGCTGTATTTCTACCTTATTTCCCTTGTCTATATTGTCCTCTGGCTGGAGCAATAGCACAGCGGCTAGGGCGTTTTCCTTACACGCAGCCAATATGGCCAACCCGAGTTGGATTCCTCTGCCCCTCTCGGAGAGCCCAGCAAGCTACCGAGAGTATCTCGCCACATGGCAAAGCCTGGCAAGCTACCCGTGACGTATTCGATATGCCAAACAGTAACAAGTCTCAACATGTTACTGGGCCCGCTCGAGCAAAACCGATGAACAATGGGAGGACCATGACCGTGATACTGTCCTCATCACAACTCATGGAAAGGGTTTTTTTGCTTATTTTGGGTTTTGTCCTTTTTTTTCCCCCTTAAACGTTTGTTCTGAAACTTACTAAATTTTTTTTTTCAGGTGTGTGAAGTCTATAAACTTCACAGAGAGACATTTTACTTGGCACAGGATTTCTTTGATCGGTACATGGCAACACAACAAAATGTTGTAAAAACTCTTTTGCAACTTATTGGGATTTCATCCTTATTTATTGCTGCCAAACTTGAGGTAAGTAATTTCCAAATTTGTGATGTAGTATATGCTGTTGTGTGAGCTCCACTAAGGTTAGGGAATTAGGTCATCTATTTGTCTATAAAATATATCCTCAAATTTTTTAGTATTGGTATTTCTAAAGTGAATACATGTTTGAAAACAAAACCAAAAAGCTAGAAATTAAACAAGAGAAAACTAATGGGGTACATATAAAATACTTAGATTAGTAGAGTAACTTTAAGCAAAAAATGATAATAACTTGGATCTAAGAAGATTGCATCTTTGTTATGACTTACAAGAGTAGATGGGCCCAACTCAAATATATTGGTAATGGTGTTGGAAAGGTGAAATTTTCAGAAATATTCTGAAAGCATTTATGTTATTTATAATGTTTGTGAGGGTGGGTGTTCCATTTCTTTCACAGCTTAACACCTTTGGAAGCACTGGAGTCATTCCCATATTTACTCCACCTCTGTACATTTCCCCCTTCTTTCCATACCAGCATAGAATAAAAATGGGATGTACTTATTGGAGATTGACTCTTTTGCTAGTAATAACTTTTATTTATTTTTAGGAAATATATCCTCCAAAATTGCACCAGTTTGCTTATGTTACAGATGGGGCTTGTTCAGGAGATCAAATTCTTAACATGGAATTGATCATTATGCAGGTAGGTTGCATGTTAATCTGTCAATCCTTTTGAATGCATACATCCTCCCTTTTCCACATTTAATGTAAGTACGTTTGTCCAGGTGATCTCCACTTGAACACGTTGTGACGTGGAACATGAATTCCTTGAGAGGACCAAAGAGAAGAGAATTGTTGTTGTTGTTGTTGTTTTCTCAACATTGGTATCTTTTCTCCTGTTTTCCTTTAGGCCCTAAAATGGCATTTAAGTCCCCTGACCATTGTGTCCTGGCTGAATGTATACATGCAGGTCGCATATTTGAATGATGTTTATGAAGTGCTCCTGCCGCAGTATCCTCAACAAATCTTCATACAGATTGCAGAGGTAAGTGAGTCCATTACCTCTGTTGGGGATACCTGGAAGGGATGTGTGTTGGACAGCTGTTTCATTGTCCTTCTCTTCCCCACAGCTTTTAGATCTCTGTGTCCTGGATGTTGGCTGCTTAGAATTTCCCTATGGTGTACTTGCTGCTTCTGCCTTGTATCATTTCTCTTCCTCTGAATTGATGCAAAAAGTTTCAGGTATTTGGACTTTCCAAGTGTATTCGCAAGGTGTTGTTATTACGCTTATAAAACAATTCTTGATGTCACATTGAGCCTGAAATTCCTTTTCATTGCAGGATATCAGTGGTGTGATATAGAGAAGTGTGTTAAGTGGATGGTTCCATTTGCCATGGTTATAAGGGAGACAGGAAGTTCAAAACTTAAGCACTTCAGGGGTGTTCCTGCTGAAGATGCACATAACATCCAGACTCATATAAATAGCTTGGATTTGCTGGTGAGAACGCAGTTCCTTATTTGTCAGACTTTTTAAAGCAGGGGCTGTACCTATACGTAGTTGGAGTGTGTGTAATCTTGGGGACTGGTGGTGCTCTGGGGACTCCCGAGGTGACAACCATCAGTGTTCAGGGCCAAACAAATTCTTAAAACTCCCTAAGCTCTGCCTTCATTCCAGCAGGCTCCACAGATATTCTAGAAACACTCCAATTCTTTTAATTCCTTGGGGGTGGCGGGCGGAGGGGGCGGGGGGCATGGAACTGGTCTGTAGATGCTGTGTCTAAATAATTGTGTATGTCACCCATTTTAACATTTCTCGTTTTTCTTACCAACAGGACAAAGCCCAAGCCAAGAAAGCCATATTATCTGAACAAAATAGAATTTCTCCTCTTCCTTCTGGGGTCCTCACCCCACCACAGAGCAGTAAGAAGCAGAGCAGTGAGCAGGGAACAGCATGACCTCACCAGCATTCTCCACCAAAGACAGTTGTGCCGAAGTGCCTGCTCCTGGTTCTCTTCTATCTCTGGCAGCAGAGGCATGCCCTAGCTTTTACAGATATTTAAGTGGAAGAACATGTCTCTTTCTGCAACAGAAGTGTTTCTGCGGATGGACAGGGAGAAGTGTTTTTTAATTGAATATTTAGATTTTTGTTTTTAAATGAGTGGGTCAAGTACACCAGCCACCTCCAGAACACCAATGAGTGCTCCAGATGCTGCTAAGGAGGGTGATACTTGACTTGATTGACTATTCATACAAATAACAAAGGCTTGAAGTTGAGGAGTGCCATGTTGCTTTTGGTCTCCCGTCAGGTGTTCTGGGTTGTGTCGAACTAAATGGAACAGGTGGTTGTGAGCATTGTGATGCGCAGCCTGCAACCAGCTGTGCTGGGAGCCTGCCCCTTCACACTCTCAGCTGACAATGTACAGATGCCTTTTATGAACTGTCTTTATGTATAAGTGCTGCTATGTCTGTCCGTTTTTTTGATAAAGGTAACACTGTCTTTGAGACAGCTGGTTTAATGAGCTATTATCTGGTAATTTAAGTTAGAAATCAACTCGTGGCTACAGCAAATTCTTCTTGAAGCTCAAGGCATTCAAGCAAAAGAAAACTTTTGAAGTGTGAGTATCAAATGCAATCTCATTTCTCAGGGGCTCTCTGAGCTGGGAATGAGGCTCCTGTCATTTCTTGAGAACCACATGTCCTGCACTGTGACTGCTCGGTCAGGTTCACTGTCTGGGGGTGGCAGTATGGTAAAGTCACCTCTTAGGTTTGCTGTCTTCTAGAGGACAGGTCAGAGACCATAAAAATTCTGTAGTTAGTGTTATTAAATATTCCTTAACCTTAATTTTAACCTAAAGAATTTTTCCTTGGAGAACTTTTTAATATAGCGGTGGCCTGAACTAATTCTTTCAAGAAGAAATTGCAAAGTAAAATTCTATATGTAGCTCAAGGCCAGGTTGTCTGTTCCCTGAGCACAGATGAAATCACCAAGTGCCTTGCTGATGGAGGAGGCTTAATGTGTACAGTTCCTATTACATCTTATTGAGCATTCTCAAAGTGGTGGCCTTGTTTAGTTTGTTTCACTTTCTTGGGAGTGTTGAGTTCATAAAAGGGAAGGTGATAAAGTAAATAAATGCCATTATTTCAACTCGGTATTTCTCATTTTGCAGAAAACTTAAATAGAAAGAAAATCGCTATTCCAAGTCTGTACCTATTTATATGAACTTGAAACCCTACTTTCAGATTGTAATGTTATAGTTCTGGCAAGTTTTGACAAAATTTTCCTAATAAATGCATTATAAATCTGCATGTAATGATTTACTTCATAATATTCCTATTTTACCATAGACACCCTTGTCTTTAAAAGCAATTAATTGGTTTGGTGGTGCTGGGGATCGAACCCACAGGCAAGGCATACACTACCACTGAACTTGATTGGTTCTGTTTGGGAACAATACCTGGTTGTGTTCTGTCTGGGTTGAAACACAGGCTTCCTGTATGTAAGGTATGCTTTGCTCATGTTCAACCTGTTGAGATACCTCTCTACTCCCAATAATCTTTTAAATGGTAACCGTCTGTAAGTGACTTGTTGGGAAAAAAATTTTTTTAAATGATTAATTGGCATTTTCTATGCATAATTATGGCAGTGAAATAAAAATAGCTTCTATTTTTAAAGTTTTGTAACTTTGGAAGTTTGATAAATGTGAGGTTACACAATTTGAAAGCATGTTTGAGGTAAATACTAAGGATGAATTATGTCATACTATAAAAATTCATGTTTGGCAAGTCATATTGCAAGGTATTATTGGATATGTTGAAATGAGTGATAAGTAAATTGTTGGAAAGCTCTAATTCTGGAAATCAGTACCTTTTAGAGTGTTAACAAGGTATCTTATTATCTGCATCAATAAGAGGTAAGTCCTAGATAATTAAGTAAAATTCAGAATATTAGTATTTTCTGTGGCTCTGAAAAAAAACAGAGGGCTATTAGTAAGTAAAATGAAGCTTTCTCAGGATGAGGCGATAGCTCAAAGGCCTGGAGCAAATGCTTTGAGTGGGAGACCTGGGTTCAATCTCTGGCACTGTGTGGTCCCCTGAGCACCTCTGGGAGCAGCCCTAGAGCACAAAGCTGGAAGTTGGTGCCAAGTATCACTGGGTGTGGCCCAAGTGCCAAAAAAACCAAGTTTCCCCTCTTGAAATATTTCCAACTTTGGTTCTTCACTGCTTCAATCTACCCATTTACCAAGTAATTTTTGTTTCATAATTTAGCTAAGACCAGCTGAGGCCAAGTGATACCACAGCCTTCGGGGGTGAGAATAGCCACTCTGGTGAAGAGTTGCTCTGAAGCAGATGTGTAGCAGCAGAAAGAAGCAAGCAAAGGGAGGTGATACGGCATACTTGGCACATCTGTCTAACTTTCCTGTGTCAGATACAGGGGCAATAACTGACCATGATGACGGATTAGATTGTGGTATTGTGGATCACATCACCATGCATTTGATTCAGAGCATGCACTTGCTAAATTCACCAGATACCTGTTCCCCATGAGAGAGAATCCGAGAAAGAAATCTGGTCTTTAGGAAGTTGGAGGGTGCACCAATACCTTTTTCCTTGCACGGAACATGGACAGCATTAGTGAGTTCCATTCATACCAAGTGAGTTGATAATAAAAATGATGCTGAGGTTCACAAATAAGCTGTAGAGTCCTTAAGGCTTAGAGCACAGTACAGTATGCACTTTCATTCTCTTAACAAACGAGATTGGAGATTTTTCTGGCAAAATTGGGCTCTAGCTCAGAGCAAGGATGGAAAGAGAAATCAAATCTGATAATGTCTAGTCATATTTACCCAACCGTGCATTTTCATACCACATGTTCAACATTTTGAAATTCAAATCACATTTATACCTTGGACATTGTTAGAAGACTATTTTTATCCCTGCTGTAATCATCTAATTTGCTGATTACAGGTCTCAAATTGCCACAGAGAACTCAATTTTTGAAAGAATTGTCCTGTTTGATCAAATATGTTATTCAAGCAATGCAGTCATTTGTTCCACAAGGTTACCTGCCAGGCAGAGCTAACCAGGAGTAATAGCATTAGAAGCCTATACTTAAAATCAAGCATTAGCTAATCTGCCTGTGACAATAGAGTCTTAAATATAATTTGCTGCAGACACTTCAGTTCCGGCACTGGCAGACAATTGCATTTTGTATTCAATGAGCATAGATTTCTCCCTACCTCGTCCCAATTCCAAATTTAACTACAGAAGACTCTAATGCGCTCAGTATCACAGGCTTACTAGGTCCTATTTCCCAGGAGCCTCAGACAAGAGGGCAATGCTATCTTATTGAATAAATGCTCTACACCCCCTTTTAAATCATTTTCCCAATCGATGCCAATTCCAAATACTAGCTTCTGACTGCAGTGAGGTTTCCGACTGATAAACAACTTCACAGCTGATGTGTAAGGTGCCCATACCACTAAGCACCTACTGTGTGCTGGCTGGAGATACAAGTCCTTTGGGAGCAGCTGCTTTCGGGTGATGAGAGATGATTAGAGATGCTAGTGCAGTGACATGAACGGAACTGACAGATCTGAGCAGAAGAGTTACGTGCTGCACAAGGGTGCTGTGTGGGGTTGCACAGTGATACTCCCATGTACCCAATGAGCCAGGTCACGTGGGGTGAAGAAAGGGAAAAAGGTCTGAAAGGGGACAGCAACCACATCACAAAGGGTTTTTGATGGCCGAGGGGAGTTAATTTCTGGACCTTAACTCAAGTACGCCCTTGCCTTTGACCTACAAGTCTCATTTCCTTTTTGGGCTCTGGAAGCAGTCACCTAGACCTGGGATTCACAGTCACATCCCAAAGTCACCACAAAGCATGATTTTCAGCAGGGAACTAGAGATGTGGGAATAGTATTTACCAGGAACCTCAAACAAGAGGGCAATGCTATCTTGCCTTCTTGTCTGAGTATTTACCCCACAGAACAGGGGTCTGAATGCTCTTTACCGCCTGGCTGGTGGCGGCAAAAATCTCACAGATTTTTCTGTGAGACCCTGAGAGAGGGCAGTGTCTCTATGCCTGCACAACCCTAAGCACTAAGAGTTCCAGAACACTTGACACTTGCTAACAGGTGCCCTTTATTATCATAGTTCCCCCTGAGACAACCCTCTCCTCCAAGCTTCAGCCCCATCTCTAAAAATCCATCATTTGTGTGGGTGTTAGTGGTTGAAGGTGGGGAGTGGGCCACACCTGGCTGTTCTTAGGGCTTACTACTGCCTCTTTTCTCTGGGATAACTCCTGGTCGAAACATATTGGTCCATGCAAGTGCCTTAGCCCTGTTCTCTCTGGCTCCAGATTATTCATTTTTAACTGTGGTGGAATTTCCCCTTGTGTGAATAAACCACAATTTGTGTATCCCTCCACAACTCACCTACCATGCTGATTCATAAGCAGGTTTCCAATTCTTTTGCCACCACAAATGATGGTCCAAATCAATATCTTGTCACCTGGGGGCCATATGATGAGCTCTGCTAGGGCATACTCAGTGCGTGCACCTTTTAGAAATCATCAGGTACTTCCTCAAATGATGCAAATTGTTCTCTACAATGTTTAGTATTGCCATCATGCCTTCTCAAAACTGCTATTGATTTTTAAAATTTTTCTTAGATGGTGGGGAATGTGCACTCATGGAGGGAATGGTGTTTGATCATTGTGTGATTGTAACCCAAAGATGAAAGCTTGTAACTATCTCACGGTGATTCAATAAAATTTAAGAAAGAAAGAAAGAAAGAAAGAAAGAAAGAAAGAAAGAAAGAAAGAAAGAGAAAGAAAGAAAGAAAGGAAGGAGACATTAACGTGAAAAAAAATTCTTAGATCACAAGATTAAGTGTATTATAATAAACTAACCTATACACATGTAGTTTTAATAATTTAAGCAAACGAAATCCAGCATGCCATCTCGTCGGTAAAGAAACAAAGAGCACCTGGCCCAGACAAGATCAGACCTGAACACCTGAAGAACTTACCATTAGTACTCATCAATACATTGGCTCAGCTCTTCACACGCTACCTGTCTGAATGCAAGGTTTCGTCCCAATGGAAAATCAGCAGGACTGTACTACTATACAAGAAGGGAGACATCCACGACATTGGCACCTATCGCCCAATCTGCCTATTGTCTGTCGTCTACAAACTGTTCACTCGAGTCATCCTGAATAGGATTAGCAGAACACTAGATGAAGGACAACCATGTGAACAAGCCGGATTCCGAAAAGGATTCAGTACCATCGACCATATCCACACGATAACCAAGCTCATTGAGGTTTCTCGGGAGTTCAAGATGCCGCTCTGTCTAATGTTCATTGATTTAAAGAAGGCCTTTGATTCTGTTGAGACGGAAGCGGTCATGGAAGCCCTAGCCAATCAGGGCATACAAACTCAATACATCAGGATCCTTTGTGAGCTCTATTGCGGATTCACTACCAAGATCTCACCATTCTACAAAGAAGTAATCATCCATATCAAGAGAGGGGTTCGGCAGGGTGATACCATTTCACCAAAACTCTTCAGTGCCACCCTCGAGAACATCATGCGACGACTGGAATGGGAAAGCATGGGAGTGAAGATAGATGGTCGGCAACTACACCACCTCTGCTTTGCTGATGACATCGTTCTAATAACACCAAACATCAGCCAAGCGGCACAAATGCTGAACGACTTTGACTGTGAATGTGAAAAGGTCGGACTACAGCTGAATCTTACGAAGACAATGTTTATGAGAAACAGCCTTGTTCCTGACACTCCATTCGCTCTCAACGGAACCACCATCTCCAAATGCAACAGTTATATATACCTAGGTCGAGAAATCAACATGATGAATGACCTGGCACCTGAGTTGCGCAGGAGGAAGAGAGCGGCTTGGAATGCCTTCAAGAACGTTGAAGAAATAACTAAAAGGACAAAGAACCTCCCGCTACGAGCACATCTCTTTGATTCCACTGTTCTTCCTGCATTAACATATGCCTCAGAGACCTGGACCCTACGAAAACAGGATGAGAACGCTATTCAGGTATCTCAAAGAGGAATCGAAAGAGCTATGCTTGGAATATCACGATTCACTCAAATGAGAGATAGAATCCGGAGTTCTGATCTTCGTCAACGCTCAAGAATCAGGGACGCTGTCTCATTTGCCAAGACATCAAAAATCAGATGGGCTGGACACGTAAAGAGGTGTACAGACAACCGCTGGACTAGAGCCATTACTGATTGGATTCCACGGGACATCAAAAGATCACGTGGATGC